CAGCTGCACGGTTAGCAACAAAAGTTTTTAGTTTTCCTGGATCATTATTTATCCAGCATAGAACAATATTGGAATCGCACCAATGCGTGAATCTTGTAGGTACTAGTCTTAAGGACTCTGTAACAGATTTACACAATTTAGCCGATAACAACGCCGCGCAAAGTTCGAGGCGAGGTATGGTGGTTGGCCTTAAAGGAGCAACCTTGGATTTAGAACAAAGTAACTTTACTGTAATCCTATTGTTCTCGTCCAGACTTCTCATGTAGACACAAGCACCGTAGGCTACCTGTGAAGCATCACTGAATGAGTGAAGTTCTATGAACTTTGGTGAATCACAAATAACTCTGCGAGGAATGTGAAGATCTGCAAGTAAAGGTAAGTTTTCTGATATTTCATTCCAGTTTTCTTGTATGTCACAAGGTACAATTTGATCCCAATCAATTCCCTTAATCCACAATTTTTGAATTAATATTTTCGATTGAATTGTGCAAGGACTTAATAACCCAAGTGGATCAAATATACGAAGTGATTGTGACATTATATATCTTTTTGTAATTTTGTTATTATTAAAATTATTTTTTACAGGAAAGTGGAACGTGTCTTCATGTGGATCCCAGCCTAGGCCAAGAGTATTGAATGACCACTTAAGGTAAGTTTCTCTTTAGTATTAATTTCTATATTTTGAAATAATTTAGGTAAATTAGTTTTGTATTTTCGCAAAGGAAAACAAGCTGAATTCAGAGCAGTAGAAAGTGCCCTTTGTATGTATATCAGCTGACTCTCACTATCTGATCCAGTGATGACGTCATCGACAAAGAAATCATTTTGTATTATAGTTTTAATTAATTGATCATCACACTCCTCCCCTACCTGCCACAGACATTTAGTGCTAAGGTAACTGGCACTTGCAGTACCGTAAGTAACAGTACCTAACTGCAAAGTTTGAATAGGTTGCGACTCATCTTCTCTCCACAGTATTAATTGAAGATTGCAATCGTCAGGATCCACAGCTATTTGTCTGTACATTTTAGTTATGTCTCCGGTTAAGATGTATTTGTATTGTCTTGCTCTAATTAGTATGGAGAATAGAGAATTCTGCAGATTAGGACCTACCAATAAGATGTCATTTAGGGAATAGCCGGAAGTTGTGGGAGCTGAGCCGTCAAAGACCACGCGAATCTTGGTAGACTCGCTGTCCTCCTTGAAGACAGCATGATGACATAGAAAATATGAAGGATTTGGTATTTTAATAGGTGATTCTGACAGATGATCTAAGTTTGAATATTCACGAATAAATTCTACGTACTGTGACTTTAGTGTCGGGTTTTTCCTAAACCTTTTTTCGAGATTTAGCAAACGTTTTTTAGCTTGATTATAGGAATCGCCGAGACAGTCAGGTGAGTCCTTTAGTGGCAATTTTACTCTGAACCTGCCGTTACTCAAACGCGTCGTGGTATTTAGAAAATGATTTTCGCATGCTATTTCGTTGGGACTAAAAATCTTTCTTTCAGGTAGATTCTCTAGTTCCCAGAATTTGGTTAACATTTTATCCAAATTGTTATTTGAAACAATTGAATGATTGCATTGAATATTTTGTTTGTAATTTTGGAATTTTATAGGACCGGCTATAATCCAGCCTAATTTAGAATTTTGTAATTTAGGACTGTTTGGGCCTAGAGAGCGTTGGCCGCTAATCAGAAGGTCCCAAAATATATCTGCTCCAATAAGCATCTCAATGGAAGCAGGTTCATAGAATTTAGGATCAGCTAATATAACTTCTTTTGGTATTTTTAGACTATGTGTATCGACGGAAATCTTTGGAATATCTCCGGTAAGTTGATTGAGAACATAACAAGATAACTGAACTTGATAAGCTCCATGAATTGATTTTATGTAAGTATCACATCTTTCTAATATTTTATCGCAATAATTATTGCCTATTCCGATAACATTTAATGCGTTTAATGGATGACACACTAAATCTAGTTTTTGTTGCAGAGATTTAGTTATAAAAGTGGACTGGCTGCCGCTATCTAAAAGCGCACGAACCTTTTCCGATTTGTTATTCAAAGGATTGTAAACTTCTATGATCGCTGTAGATAAAAGAACATATTTATTATTGTGTTGAGAAAAAGTCACTACGGTCTCATTAGTATTATTATTGATTATGTCTATTGTACTGCAATTAGATAATGAGCTGTGATCGTGAAGAAGCGTGTTGTGCCTTTGGTTGCAATGCCGACATGAACCCATGCCGCACTCTGACGTAGGATGACCTTGACGCAAACAGTTACTACACAATTTGTACTGAGTTATACATGACATTTTCTCCTTAATGGATTTTGATTTAAAGGTTGGACAATCATATATCCTATGATTTCCATTGCACACTACACAAAGATAACAAATATTATTTCGAGTTTGTGAAGTGGATGTAAACACATTAGTACCCTTTTGATAACGAAGTGATTTATTAAAAGAATGTTTGTTGCTAAAGGATTGAGATTGAGTGTTAGATTGCGAAAGACGTGAAGTTTGTGGTGATTTGGAAATGTTATTATTATTGTTTATACATTTATTATGGCTAAACGATTCCAATACATCAGCGCGGTCAATTAAAAATTTATTGAATTGTTGTAAGGTTGGCACATCACTCAAAGCGTTGCGATATTCTTCCCATTTTAATATAGTTCGACTATCTAGTTTGACTGATAAAATAAATATTAGCAACATGTCCCAGTGGTCAGTTGGTAAACCTAGATTGTTTAAAGCTCTTAAGTTTTTAGTTACATTATCAACCAAATATCGAAGGGATTTATCTGATTCGCGAGTTATTGCTTGAATATTAATTAATGAATCTAGATGATGGTTGATAAGAATTCTTTTGTTGTCATAACGCTCGCAAACCTGTTTCCAAGCTTCTTTGTAATTAGCGGACGATACTTCAAGATTTGCTATAATGCGTGCCGCGTCACCGTCCAAATAAGAAACTAAGTAATGGAATTTATGTATGTCTTGAATGCGATCATTATTGTGAACTAAGCTAACGTATGTGTCCCGAAATTCGAGCCAGCGGAAATGTGATCCATCGAACTTCGAAATTTGTATTTTTGGTAATCTAAAACCCACATTTTGATGATTAGTGTCCGCATTAACAATAATAGATTGACGGCGCGGAAACTCATCGTCATTACTATATTTTGCAATTCCGTCTTAGCTATAGCTATATTTTGAACTAGTTCTTGTTCAATGCGTTCACGCTCATCGAGTTCCATTAAGATATTTGAAGCATTTAAAACCTCAATCTCTGTCCGCAAGTCATCAAACCTTGTCGATAATGCTTGCAATTTATTTAATTTTAAATTTAACTCTGCAACTTCTATATTTGATAACTCTGGTAATTTACTGATGTTAGCTAAATAATTTTTGAATTTCGTTATTTGTCCCTTAATTGAACTACGTTTTGCTAGCAGTTCCTTTAGAGACACTTGCACGGGATATTTCTGGTTACCCTCTTGCATATTTGTAAAAATATTTGCTTACTACGTAATTGAACAAAAAATGTACTTTGATTGTACAATTCTAGTATTATACTGCACCAAAATGAAATATCGACTGGTTATGTATGACCAAACAGTAGAAGAAATAAAATGAATTCTCACGCTCCTCCTCTCGGTGAGGTCCCTTGGGAAGCTGGTATCGGCTGGCTGCAAAACCTTAGTCAGCAAAACGAGCAGTGACGTATTTGGCAGCAGCCTGGTCGAGTAACTGAGTTCTCAGGATAACGCCTGGAAATTTCGGCAAATCGACTTAAAAATTTGAAAATATCGATTAAATCGATGTAGGGTTTATGGCAAAGGAATAATATTAAATTAATATTAATGACATAGCAATTAATTGGCAAATCAGAACTTGAATTTAGAAAAGAAAATCTTTGGACATTATAGTTGACGGTATATGTAAGTTATTTTACTTATACACTTATTTGCACTATAAAGACGTATAAATCAGAAAGAAATGCACAAATAAAGGCTTAATAGTGGAGTAAGTGTATTTTAGAAAGGAATTAGGTACTAGGTTGTAGTAATATGAGGTTAGATTGGAACAAAGGAATGGCACTTATCTCATTGATGATGATGCACCTCGACGACTTTCCGGTACTACCTTTAGCTGGTTCGCAAGCCAGGAAGTCAAGGCTGGTTGCTTGAGTGGTAATCGCCTTCAAATTTAGTTTCCTTTGGAAATCTGCAGTAGCCGAGTATTGAGTTGCTCGTCACCGATTTTGTAATTTTGTAGAAAATATCCTGTCACGGTCGCCAAATTTCTTGTTTACGCACAAGAATGGAATTTCTTTAGTGAAACTCAAAAGAACTTTAGAATTATGTATATTACAATAATTTTTGGAGACATAAAAAAGCAGAGATGGTGACTGTTCGAAATCGGTAGTAGAATAGACTGGTGCAACAATCTACCCGCTGTTGAAGATTGTAAAAATAAATGTCATATAAAAATAATTTAACTAGACGTAAATCATCTAACGACGAATTGCTATGCGTATTGAAGTAGGCGCGTACAATCCTATTGTATTACATTTTTTTATGAAAAAATAAACCATTTACGTAATACAGTTTCTTACAAATATTAGTATAATATAATTAAATTGAATTTTGTTTGTTGTTGCTAAATTATTTTTAATTTTTGAGTTATTTGCATTACCTTATAGATGCAGATGCCGATTGCTATTATGCAAAATACTGATGTTTAGCCAAATCTACTAAAGTTCCTACTTTCTACTCTAATCGAACAAAGCTAGAAACATAACTTTAAAACAGCTATTGTTACTATCTTCATAGACATTTGAAACACTAATCTAAGATCTTTTTATATTACTTATACATTTTTATATCGTATTATTTAAGCAATAGAATACAAATTACATTGCAGAAACTGTACAATGGCTTTGTATTTACGTTAAAGGTATGTAAAGTTATATGATGTACCTGGACTTGGCGATATGTCGTTTGAGCGAGCTCTGTAGCTGATGTACGAGCGTGGAGGCGGCGCGGTGCGCGGCGGCGCGCGTGCGCTGCGTCACCGTCGCGTGCGCGCGGTCACTCTCCGCCTGGCCTCAACAATATTGACGATATATTTAACACGCCGTGATATTTGACTGCTGGAATATGAGTCCCTCTTACGTAAGAGGGGTTTGTCATTATATTGTAATATAAAAACGTTGCCACACACTAGGATTTTCCCTGTCGTAGGTCCGTTTACAAACATACAAGTTCACATACACATGACACTCAGACCCGGAAAAACAACACATCCGTGCGCGGATCGAAAACTCGACACGTTGCGCGGCATCCAGTTGCGCAGCCATTGCGCTAACCGTGCAGTTTTAACCGCCAACCGAGTAACCGTGCAGTATTATCATCACACTTGACATGCAGGTTAAAAATTTGAGTATGACTGCACGATTGGTGCGGTGGCTGGGCAACCGGCTGCCGTGCAGCGTGACGCGGGTTCGATTCCCGCACGGAACAACACTTTGTGTGATCCACAAATTGTTGTTCCGGGTCTGGGTGTCATGTGTATGTGAAATTGTATGTTTGTAAACGCACCCACGACACAGGAGATAATCCTAGTGTGGGGAACCGATATAAAAAAAAATTAAAGGTTTAGGTATCAGCGCAGATAATGAGAGAGAGAGAGATGGAGATATTCTGAGAGCGAATGTCTCACTGGAGGCAAACTGAACGGCTTACAAATCACCCAACTTTAATATTTGATCATAGACCCTGTGGACTGGCGGTAGATAAATAATAAATAAGACAAATATTTAGATAGTTGGTGTCTACTCTCTGATAAATGGATAGTCAGGTCTGATGACATCTATAGAAAGAGTAGGGATGGCAAGAAATTAATGGCGTCACCATTTAATACCATTTATGGAATTACAGCGTGCAATCTACCAAGGTTCGAAGGATATATTTCAGTGGATACTGGATTATATTGGAAATATATCAGTGGATATACATATATCCAATGACATTTTGTGATCATCATCAACAGCCTATAAATGCCCACTGCTGAGCAAAGCCTCTTCTCACACAGAGAAGGTTAGAGCATTAATCACCACGCGTGCTCAATGCGGGTTGGCGATTTCAAACTTATAATTAGAAATTATAAGTTCAGGTTTCCTCACGATGTTTTTCCTTCACCGTTTGTCAGTGGTGTCTAAATAATCTTAGAAAGTACATATAACTCGGAAAAAGGTACTTGCCGTTGGTAGGTTTCGAACCCGCACCCTCATGCATGAGAAGTGGGGCTACATTTTGTGATACATAAGCATTATGTCTAACCTAGAAAATGTTGTGTTTTGGATTTAGTTATCTGATTTTAAGTACATTCCTTTAAAAACAGTTTAGGAGTTTTATAACTTATAATGTTTATTGTTTATAATGTAAAACATATGCAGATAATATACATAATAATCGGTGCCATAAGTTCCATACAAAATTATTCATGAAAACCTTAATAGGTACTTAATTCACAATTTTGTGGACATTAAGTTTATATCATTATAATATGAGCTTATGGCGCCGACTTCTAACCTATCAGTGGGTGGGTCGACTTCAGACCCTTACAAAATTGTAGTGTTTAAAATTCCTAATTGAAAAACATAATAGACGCATTACTCGCCCCTATAATTTTTGAAAGTTCCCTCGGTTTTCCTAGGATCCCATCATCAGATCCTGACCTCATGGAAATGGGACCATCTCGGGAGTATACCATTCAAACAAAACAAAAATTTTGGAAATCGGTTAACAACGGCGGAGTACTGCGCGAACAAATAAAAAAGAAAAAGAAAAAAAAAACAATCACGTTAGCAGATATACAGGATATCAAACTTGATAGGTACTTATCGTAAATATCCAATATTTTAATCGGATATTTTCGAACCGTACACCCTGCAAACTACATAAGTATTTACCGACCTGATTAACCCTGTGCGTGGCGTGGTTAAGCATCTCCTGCCAGGCGGGGTCGAGCGTGACGCCGGCGCCGCCTTCTGCCAGTCGCGCCAGTCCCTGCTCCGCCAGGTACACCATCTCCCGCGCCGCCGCGTGAGCACTGTTCGCCTTGTCATACGCGACTGTTGCTGTTTGCAACTCTTGTGACGTCTGAAACAGAACATAGGCATATTTTATGTATTTTATTTTTAAATAGGGACCATTATGAATGCAGAATTTCCTCAATTTTTTTTATATAGCATAAGCCGGTAAACGAACTGACGGATCACTTGGTATGCAATCGGCGCCGGCCTTAGACACCTTGAAACACCATAAGCGTAACAAGTGCGTTACCGGCCTTTCGGGAATTGGGATTTTGAGGATTGTGGAGGATTCGGGGATTCGGGAGACGGGGACTAGGGAGGGGGGTAATTGGGCCTTCGGTAACCTCACTCACACGACCAAACACAACGCAAGCGTTGCTTCACGTCGATTTTCTATGAGGCCGTGGTATCACTCCGGTCGAGCCGGCTCATTCGTGCCGAAGCATGGCTCTCCCACACTTGACTTAATAAACCTCTTATTTTAAAAGATACAATAAAACAAACATACATTGTGTCTTGTTTAAATCTGTATTCTAGTAAACAATGTGGCAATAAAGCTACTTTAAACTGACTGAATTTACTGCCTCGATGGCCGAGTGGTCGCAAGTGGGACTGCCGAGCAAAGGGTCTCGAGTTCGATTCCTAAGTAGGACACAGTTACTGGGTTTAAAAAAAGATCTTAGTAATAGCACGGTGCCTGGAAATATGCCTGGTATATGGCAATAGGCTCAACCCCTACTACATGGTACTCATAACATCAATAGTGAAAAGAGGTGTTACATTGTAGTGGCATTAGTTGCCGTAATGTGCACCTCTGCCTACCCCTTCGCGGGTAAAAGGCGTGATGTTATGTCAATATTTTAAATTTTTGTTTAATGTTAATTATTAATTTACTCACCATGGACTGGTCATAATTTTAATTTCAATATGTCTAATAATTATTTATAAAGTACCTACATTACACAGTACAATTAATCACATCTATAATTATTACTACAATATATTACATAATGATGAACTATTCCATTTACATCTATTTCGATGGCTCTACGAAATCATCCCATCAACTCGATGGGAGAATGATAGGATACTTACAATATTAGCTCTGAATCTAGCTTCATAATAAGGCCTGGCTTTGTGTACACTGGTACCAAGCTTCTTGGTAAGCTGTTGTATCCGCAGGTGTCCCTCTGCAAGCAGTCTACGGAATGCCAGCCGAGCCTCGTCCAGCTCAACTTCAAGCCTGTTGATCTCATCTGTAGCAGTATTTAGACGCTCTAGTTCAATCTGCAAGTTAATATTGTCTTATTGAGATACATTATCGATATTCATTTAACTCGTCGAGTACTGGTTTTATAGACACAATTAAAGAACAATAGGTCGCGGTCACCGGTGACCGCTTGGTGTTTGACAGTTTAACTAGTTGCTGCCTGTAACTTCGCCCGTGTAGAATATAATTCCTGTTTTATACTATGGGAGCATTTAATCCGGATACAAAGTATCCTACCTCCTAAGTCAGCCCATACCCTGCCTGTGAACCATATTTTATCAAAATCTGTTTAGTAGTTTCAGTTTTATATGGGACTCATAACATAAATAGTGAAAAGTGGGTGTTACATTGTACAGTGGCATTAACTCGTTGAGTACCATCATTATAGACACAATTATAGAACAATAGGTTGCGGTCACCGGTGACCGAATGGTGTTTGACAATTTAAGTGCCGTAATGTGCACTTCTGCATGTCTCTTCAGAGATAAAAGGTGTGATGTTATGTTATGTAGTTTCAGTGTGATTGATGGACAAACCAAGAAACTTTCACATTCATAATATTTATGTAATTGATTTAACTATAAGAAAGAATAATTCAGAGATACATTTTAAGTCAAAGCCAGTAGTAGACAGTAAACATTTTCTAAAGAAATAAATTTTAATCTTTGTTCTATTAAACTGTCAAATACCAAGCGGTCACCGGTGACCGCGACCTATTGTTCTTTAATTGTGTCTATAAAACCGGTACTCGACGAGTTAAAATAATAAAAAACAGAGATAATTATTACTTGGATTGAACATACTACCTTAAATGTTTTAGAGCTTGTATAAAATTAATTGGTGTGAGTGTATCAGTAGCAAATTGATTAAGCAACATTTTGAAAATAATTGTGACTTAATTATGACAACAATCATACCTAGACCAGACCTACTACTGGAGTAGACTACCTAGAAAAAGTGCTAAATATATTTTTTTTTACACCAAAACACCTTGAAGGAACAACCAAACAGTTTCTTATTCCTTTCTCTCTGACACACATTTTTTTCAAGTTTGCTTTTTATTTCCTACAAATATAAATGATTACCAACCAAATGTATTTAATTCTGTATATTTACTTTTATTTAAATAAGAAAATTTGAGTATAAACATTGAATATTAGGAAATTCATTTCAATAGATCTTCTAACTTGATTTTCCTTTCAAGATTTTTTTTCTACTAAGTCTCAAGTGTTAGATATTAAACGTAAGAGTCGCTAGCAGCGGACGTATGCAATTGTGCCATTGTTTAATTGAGAATTATTCTGTTGCATAACAAAAACATATGATTGAGTCTGCGATTTTTTTATATTTGCATTTATTTACTTCTATCATCAAAAACTTCGTTGGTAATTAAAGAAACATATCTAAATAAGCATTAAGATAAGAGAGGAGGATTATTATGTAAAATACAGTCCACTTATTTCATAAATTACCTCTGAAAATATCGATTATCCCTACCTGAACGCGAGGATCCAAAGCTTCCGAGCATTCGGCGGCGCTATCGTTCATTGTTTCCTCAACACAATAACATTTTAATAAAATTTAAAGTTATTAAAACCTTTCTTCTTGTTGTTATAGTTGTTCTTTTGTGAAATAAACATTATCATCGCTGAAAACAAAAAGAAAAGAAATATCAAATAACTTTGGTTCTCAATTCAATACCGCCCGCTGCCAAAACACAGATTATTAATTGAAACGTCATTTTATACGTCAATAAAATATTAATAGTCGATTATTTTAAAAATGTGTACACTTTGCTTTATGTGCATTCCATTTAATGTTATTTTATTTAATAACAAATTACACTTTTAAATGTTTTGGTAATTAACATTAACAAACCATTTTTTTATTTGCAATTTGTTATCTGTAATAAATTTTTTATTCGTTCAGTCATTCACTCTCATTTTTAGACATTTCACAAAAAATCGCAGTTTGTCATCAACGAAGATCGTATTGAAATTTTAAAAATGGTATATATTTGAATAACTTTTTCATTTTCTCAGTTTTACGTGTTAGATTATTACAACAATTATTGTGCTTTACAGGCGACTGAAGTGGAAGACACAATCAAGCGAATCCAAGCCCATAAAGGTGTTATGGGTGTCATCATCGTGAATCACGAAGGTTTGGTCGATTTTTTCATATTTCCATGGTTACAGGGGCATATAATGCAAGTCTCGAACGTTCTCCCCGTGTATGCATTCCGATCAATACTAAATATCCAACACACTTGTGAAAACAGCTGTAATAAACACAATGCTTCAAATGTTTACTTTCTAATTTCAGGTATTCCTATCAAAAGCTCTTTGGACAATGCTACATCTGTATTATACTCCGGACTAATTGGTCAACTCACTGAAAAGGCCAAGAATGTTGTGCGTGAAATGGTAAATATTTATATAATCAATCTTCTAATAAGTCTAATAGGATAGTTGTACCTTGACATTGACCATAAAGCTTGGTCCCATAGATCCCCGGTTACCGGTGACCGCTCTCCACTAACTAAATTATAGACCTTTTTCCAATGTTTAGAGACTACTTTTGTTTTTGTATGAATGATTTTAGGGGATGATTTTTAACAGGTTAACAAGAGTAAGCACTGAAATCTTTTTAATTATTTAAGAATTCATACCAGCATTTTGTCAAATCTACTTTACATTGTGCAAGAACATTATTCACCTCTGACTACACCTTTAGACATAAAAGGTTTTATGTTATATTAAAGTTACAAAATACAAACCTAACACGAGTCCTTCAAATATTTCAGCTTAATTCTTATATCATAATACTTTTTCAGGACACAACAAATGAACTTACATTTCTTCGTGTGAGGAGTAGGAGACACGAAATCTTGATTGCACCGGATCGTGAATTCATACTCATAGTCATTCAAAACACTTCTGACTAGCTTCACAATGCAAAAGACTAGCACATATTTAAATTAAGGGGCCTTGAAACCATAACACCAATTTTGGAGCTGTATTACATGTTCTCAATAAAAAGCAAGAAAAGTAATTCTGCATGAGAATACGATGGCAAAGTACTAAAATATCATAATACAGCTGCAAGATAAAAAATAAAAATGATCACACTATTCCCATATTGTATTTAGACTATAATAAAAAAAATATTTCACTGTGGTTGGCTTGGCCTCTTTGAAAAAAGAATATTGCACTAGCTCAAGGAGTGTCACTAAATAAGAATCAATTTAATTTTAAAAGCTTTCATTATTATTTTAAGAAATAATTAATTTATTACTAACAAGAGCATTCCTAAAGTGCCATTTGTGCAATTTCTCTGTTAAATTGGCAAAATATGTATGGCTAAGGGCTATTGAAGTATTGAAGTGACTAGACCCTGTTTTGCATAGCAAAGTATGAATAAAGTTTGTGCCAAGCAACAAGAGCAATCAGATTTCAGATTGGCAGTTCGAAACGTTGACAGATTTGAAGAATTAAAATAATAATACTTACTAGTTTTTAAGTTGCAATTATTTTTACTAGTGATAGGGATAATTTTTTTTTTACAAAAATAGTTTTGTTTTTTATTTCGTTTTGAGTTCGATACTTCATTATTTTCTTGAAACTTTTGTGATTTTATTTTATTCATGTATTGTAAGAACACTAATAAATATTTATACACATAATTATGACTTTTATAATTTGACATCTAACACGAACAATGCGAATCCCATTATTGGTAATTTTACTTAGCGTCCGTCCGGTCCGATACTTTTAATAATTATTATTAATTATTTATGTACCTATTATTTAGTAGTCTTCACCCAATGTCTAGATAATCAACAAATGTATTTAGATGATTTTGATGTTCGCTGCTCAGCTACAATACTAGTAGCGCGATTTGAACTAGTATTTGAATACAAATAATTATTCAATATGATTGAATTATTCTTTCTTATTAGATAGTACATTATTGAAGAAGGCTATAAAAAGTCACGATTGGTAGGAGCTGAGAAGTAAGTGTAATTGGTAATGATTATAGATATTTATATGTTATATGGTCATCCCGTAAATTTGATTGTCTATGGGATGTAAATATGTATGCTAGTTCAATAGATTTTTAGGATAAATAAAACCATTATGTTAGGCTGAAAAGAAACATTTATTGTAAACCTGGAAATAGTACAAAAATATATTATAAAGAACAAATAAACATGTATGAGATGAGAGATGTATGACATTCCTGTAATGATGAATGTGTGATTAAAAATATTGAAGTCAAAATGGACATGCATGGATAAGAAACTTCAAGAAAGTCATTTTGCACAAATGATTGTATTTTAGATCCATGACAGGCAGTGGGAATTTAAAATTCATCATTAGAAATCCATTGCTTCCAAAACAAACCAACTTTTGGTACTTACTCTGCGGCAATACCGTTTTTGATGTCTTCAGCTGGATGGTATAATACCAGGTCCATATTGTTAGTTTTTGTTCGGGTTTCCCGACTATACTTAGACCAAGAATAATGTAAAATGTTTGTGAACACACCACAAAGGTAAGACACAATTTGGAACATCGAATAGCAGCTTTCTGTTATCGGTAAATAAATGAGATTAGGGTCTCCCCACATCTATCGACGAGGAATCAGCTAACACCGGACTAAAAAGCGTTTATCTCTTAAAACTAGACAGCGCTGTAAGCAAGCACCCTTACACGCGCCTAATTATTTTTGGCGCCACTGTCGCTATTTGGGCAGTTGGGCATGGACTTTTCACGGCGTCCCTTCCTAATCTGGCGCACTAGGCATTTGCCTAGTTTGCATAAAAAGGCTCTGGATGAGTGATATTCCTGTTCATAAGGTTAGTTCACAAAAATTTCATATCGATCTTGGCCTAAGTAGATATAAATAGCTATCCTATCCTGAATTAGTATTTTTATTATGTTTAAATTAATACTTAGTATTTTACACGGTCCAGTCTTCTTTCAGCAGTTTTCTTCGATATTTAATTGATAGTTGTAGATTTTGAATGCTTTGTTTCAATTATATTTTTCTTGACGTTTTTATAGTGGTATGATTTGGGTACATGGATATGTGACACAGACAAACTTGACTTTATCTGCATTAATTCTAAATTATATGCGAATATTGGCACTTTTCATTATTGCCTGTTGATAGGCGAGTGTAATATCAATGTTTGTACTTAGAAGAAGGTTGGTTTGAGCTGATATCAAACACAATTCGTCTTAATTTGTATTGAACGATTAGAATTAGCTCACCCCAATGCACAGACAAGTTTATTTACATTATTTAGAGATTCATTACTTTCAGAACTGAATTCTGTTTTGTACCAATTTAACATTTTTGGGTTTTCTTACCAATTGTATGTATTATAAAATTAAAGATTAATTATTTTGTTATTTTATTTATTTCATAGTCACACAATATTGAATACATTTATATTTTCAACATGTTTCAATGCAATATTTATTGTAGAAAGTGCAAAACCTTTTTTGATACTTTTGTAACGTTTTGGCCAGCAACTTTCTCGTGAATCTAGTCTATAGATGTGCATTTTATCTAATTTAAAACATGTTGAAGGCGTTTTAAGTTTAACTAATATTATTAAAAATTACTTACTAACAAAGTATTCTTTTTATAAAATTGCTTTTTTGGAATTTACATATAAATACTTTTATTTCGATTTCTACCTACTTGAATGCGCGTTGCGCATTTTACATTTTTTTAAAGTTGGCAGCACGTCTGCTTAAATGCTGTTTGTATTACAAAAACAAATTAAAATTAAATTCTTTTGTCAACAAAATATTTTTAAAATAATTTTATGCTGTAGATTTTTGATAGAACACAATTTGTGCTGTGATTGGTCCATAAAATCAGTTATCATTATTATTTTTAGTCAGTGTACCTTTTGTGTACTAGTAAGTTGTATTGTTTTTCTTCTGCCAATTTTAGCGTTTTAATCTTCATTATTTTTCATTGTTTGTTTTATTTATCTTGTAGTTTTAGATCCAATACAACTTTTTTACTCACCTAATGGGAGCGCTTTTTGACAGTCCTGAAAACAAAAATAGAGGAATAAGTATTTAAGAATAATGTGTAAGTGAATATATAAATTATAAACAGGCAACATAAATGTACAACCACATATCCCAAATTGTTAATTAAAAGCAAAACTAAAAAGGTGTGCACGGGCGCTTTCCAACAATATTGTTAACTTTGATGGGATGGGGCATTATGCAGGGACACTTGACACCATGTTGATATTTTTATAGCAATGAACACAATGAGAGCTGAAAAATGACAATATTGCTTTGATAACCTTGAATATCCCTATATCATTGATATAAAAAGAATTGTACAAATATCTGGAAGTACCAGCTTGATATAAAAAGAATTGTACAAATATCTGGAAGTACCAGCTCAGTTGTAAAAAAGTAGTATTTAAGTTATATTCAACAGATATCTTAGCAATACAGTCATCTGCTACACTAAATGAATTGGAGGCAGCGCCGTCGTGCACTAAAACAAGTACGAACGGCAAGTGGCTCTACTTGGGCGGGCGCGCGTAGGGCTCGGGGCGCACGTAGTGGCGCGGCGCGTGATGCTGCGCCTGCATGGGAGCCTGGCGCCGCGTGCCCACGGCGCGGGCCGACTTGTAGTCGCGGTTGTCCTCCTTGTACCCGTAGCTGTCATCCTCGTAGTACCGCTCGTGACTACGCTCGTAGTAGAAGTCCGGCTCCGGAGCTGCACCCCGGACTGGGCCACGAATCTATACAGTTATAATTTATGTTGTAATTACACTGCACTTTGGCGTTATTTCTTGTGGTAGATATCTAATACTTCCTTTCTGTGGACGCACGGCAAAATGGAGATTTGACTTAGACAAAATTATAAATAAACAGTTTTTGCACTCCCTGATAACGACAGGATCCTGGACGTGAGGTAAGTCTGAATAAGACAAGTACAAACCGGTGGCTCCGGCGGCTGTGCATATACATCGTCGTAGGGGTACGAAGTCTCCATAGCGTTGCGTGCACGGTCTAGGATGCTGATAACCTTGTTCTTGGGCGGCATGGCGCGAGGGATGGGCGGCGCCGGCGGCATGCGGGGCGGAGGCCGGGCGCCGCGCGGCGCACCTGCGGGGGCAGCAGTGGTTGGAGCGGCGCTGGGCTCGAACGAGAACGAGCGCGGGGTCACGGTGCAATTGAAGCTGGGGACGCGCCGCCCGGCCGCGTTGCCTGCCGGGGAAGGCCACGTTATGTATCGCGACCCACGCTCGTCTCGTTGCATTGTGTTAATCAAAGCACTATGCACTTATGTTACAGATATCGCGAAACCACTATGTAACCAATTTGAATGTATCGTAGCCATAAACAAGTGTCCCTATTTATCATTAGGAGGAATGCAAGTTTCTCTTTAAGGAACTACATGATGGACATTCAAGTTGGACTGGTTGTTTTGCAATCACTGTAACAAGCTAACATATAATATGGGGGAAGTTAAATATTTTCTTAAGATATCAAGCAGCTTTTTGTAGTCATCTACTTAGATTTTTTTTACAATTTTAATGAGTTAGCAATTGAATAATATAGCACCAAGTAATACCTCAAAATAACAAGCCAAGTAAAATCTGTATGATACCAATATGCAATAAAATTATTTTCCATATTCTGATCCTTTGAGATAAATCATCAGAATTGAAAGAAAGCATGAACAAACATATCCCCAATTCTTTAAAAGGCTTTGCTTTGATGTTGAAAGCGTCTATTATCATGAGGAGATCCGTCTGCTCGTATATGTTACAAAAAATAAGCAAAGTCCATACCTCCTCTCTCAATGTCCCTCATCTGAGTCTGCCAGATCATGTCATTGGTGTCAGGGACCAGATACTTCTTGACCTCGGCGAGTGCGTACGCGATGCGCGCGTGAGCTTCAGCGGGCGGCGCCAACGCACTGATCTCTACGTGCAACTCGTCTGTCAGATGCGCGTACTTAGGGTCTAAGGAGTTGCGGAGTTCCTCTTCTTTTTGTCTAGAAAAAAAGGTTTTATTGAGAATTTGAAAAAAGGGAATTTTTTTCAGTACAATAACTGGTAAGCAGGCTACAAAGTATGTTTACCTGTCTCGCATAGATCCTCTGCCCAGCACAGCCATCTTGCACATGGTCTCTTCCTGCAAGTGCTTCATCGTATTACCCTTGGGGCCTAGTAGCTTGCCAACGAAGTTGAACTGTGAAACAGAAAGTACAAATATTTTAGCTCAAAATGAGTACTATGTTCTAGAAAATAAAGTCTTGTATTATATTCTTTTAAAACAAAATTAATAGTTTACTTCAATCTGGACTAGAAACATTAATTCTAATATGATGAGGCAGATGTGTGAAATTTTGATAACATAACTTTTTAATAACCATTTTTTTTTTAGAAAACCAACAGCAATACATATAGTTTACAATAATTTACGTGAATTACAGAGATTAAGGCTAATAAATGGTATCCCATATTTCCTAGACTGCCTCGTTAGCCAAGTGGTCGCAAGTGCAACTGCTGGGGCAAGGGGTCTTGGGTTCGGCCAAGTAATACAGGATTTTAAAAAAATCTCATTAGTAGCACGGAGTCTGGAATTGTTCCCGGTATATGGCAATATGCTCACCCCCTATTACATAGGACTCATAACATACAACAGTGAAAAGTGGATGTTACATTATACAGTGGTATAATGTGCACCACTTCGAGGATAAAAAGCGTGATGTTGTTATTTCCTAGATTTTGTAAATTTCAATTCTGGCCATACTGAATTCGCACAGCTGGTAGATAAGTTGAAGATTGCAAAAATTAAACAATAATTAACATAAGATTCAAAGTATTCTTACCTTAGGATGTTCCTTGACTGGCACGAGCACCTTGACAGTCACCTTGGTGGGCTTGTCACGGAACACATCCAGATACTTGGAGTCCTTGCCAGGTATCCTGCCAGATGTCTGGACTTTGCTAACCTCTGGAAATTATTAACACAATGTAATCAATACACCATCTACATTGTCGGTACTTGTCTTTAATTTTTGAGAAATTTAACAGTACATATAATAAATACAATGTCATATTTATTGTCACATCCCATTTCGAGTTCCTGCTTGATATTATAGACTTCCGTTACCAGACTAGTAAACTGTTGTACCATTTCTATGTCAACAGACAACTTGCTTGATAATGGACCAATGCGAGAGGAGTCATATGAGGTGAAAATAAGCAAAATTATCATATTTCATAGAAGATATCTGGAATTATTTACCTATAACAGTCATTAATACTAAAGATAAAATTATATTTATTACACTGTAACAGATACCAAGTCTTTATTTGCCGTGTGCGGAGTTGATAAGAGTCATCCATACTAAATGACCTGTAGGTCAATGACCTATGCCAAGAAGGTTTTTCAAAACGCGGTTGTATTGTGAAATAGTCCAACGGTTTGGTAAAGTTAGTTAATGATTATTAAATTGAATATTAACAATTAATTAGTCAGGACTGTAGACAATTGAGACTTGGCACAAATTGCCACATAGTTTGGCAACAAATCACGACTTCGGGTTCAATGACCATGAATAAATCATTTTGGCACATTTTATTGAAGACATTTAGCAGAAATAATAGTTTGTTTTGTGATTTAGATAAACTCTTGGTCTTGTATCCCTTGTAGATGTATTCTAAGAATGTTTATTTTATTATCGACTAATGTAATCATCATTATAATTCGGCGCCATGCCATTAAATCAAATCATTTCTCTAACTTTGTCGCAAAGAATCTAACCGTGTAAATCAATAACTAATGTTAGCTGATGAGAAATTTAATCAGTAAAATAAATAGCTTCGTTTAGATAAAATTATAAAATTCAATTTTTTTAGATCGTATGAGTCATTTGCGATGACTTGCGGCAGAAACTTTCTCCATAAAAGACATTTACCTTGATCGATAAGTTTCGTGATGATGGGGAACTTAGCATTATTGAGTTTAATTTTCTCGCTGAGTAATTCTCTCATATATTCACCGGCTTTTTCATTTATTTTAGGATTATCATCGCCATCTTGTTCTTGTTCGTTGTCTATATTTGCATCTTGAGGAGCATTTCGCTTGAAGTCACTGCTGTTATATCCATTTTTATCGTATTTCTCAGCCATATTGATAGCTTTACTTATAACTTATTCACTATAACCAATGTAAAACACAAAACTAAGTTACAATGACACAATATCAGTGGTTATCACGCATGAAATTAAAATCAATAAAGGACGCGGCATGAACGACGAGCCGGGAGGAGAAGAGGTGGAATAAACAATCGCCATTCACCTCACTAGCTGTGTTTTTATTTAATCTGTGGTTTCGGTAAAATTGTTTACATCCGGTCATTTGGTTGAATAATGTTGGTAGACTTGTTTAATTGTCTATGATGTATTATAAAGTCAAACACACACTATTGCAGATGAGCAAAAGCAAAATGAACGTAATGAACATAAAATAGCTATTTATATAAAAAATACAAATATTGCAAAGTTCTGTATATACAATATACATACTTTTGTTTAACTCGTCGAGTACCGGTTTTATAGACACAATTAAAGAACAATAGGTCGCGGTCACCGGTGACCGCTTGGTGTTTAACAGTTTAAAACTAAAGAAAGGTAATTTTTTCATGTACCTAGTCTACCTAATTTATTTTATACTTATCATACTCTTCGGGATAATCACAAATATAAGATTTCAACCTTATTTATTTCTATTTCTAACAAATTTGGTTTTTATAATCATCTAGTGTCTCTTAATGAGTATGAGATAATATGTTGACTAACTCTAACTAGATGCATCTATTGTTTTTTCACTAATTAAAATTTTACCTAGGAATGTATGATTTAATGAAAGGATTGGCCGCAGAAAGCTTTAAGAAGAGGCGAGTGGAAGGACGGTAGGGAGGCCTTTGCCCTGCAGTCGAACGACCATGGCTAAGGACCGAAACACATTACCGCTTTGCGTCGCCGCAACGCTAAAATCGGCAGTTTGCCGCACGTAGCGTTCGTTCCAGCATAGCAAAGTAATGTCTTCTTAATAACAAATAAGCAATAAATTTTTTACGATGGTCCATGGCAAAGACACGTCTATCCACAATAAAAATCACGACGAACTGGTTACCCTACCGAACGACAACAAAACGCTCTTTTTCACGACGCCGCAACGCCGCAACGCCGCAACGCAAACTGCCGATTTTAGCGTTGTGGCGACGCAACGCGGTTAAGTGTTTCGGCCCTAAAAATGAATGTATTTAAAGAAGTATTATAGTTAAGTATAATAGCTTTCATTTGAGTAGGTTTTATCTATATTGAAGTAAGAAGGAATAGGACTATATTTAAAGTAAAAGGGTTAAACGAAAATAATGAACTCCTGCGAAAAATATTTCAATGTAAATCATAATAAAACAATACAATTCAAAATAAATATCATTTAGTTTTGTCTTTTCCTTTCTTGTCTTTCAGTTTGGGACGTGTTCTGGCATGTTGTATGACTATTATGTTGAAATCGTTTTCAGGTGCCATCATGATCTCATTTTTTTTTGTATGTATGCGTAAAATCATTATTTCTTCCAGTGGATCCTGAAAATAAAGCAATAGATTTAGCAGTTAGCAGGAGTTAGCAGGTAAACTGTAATCTAATATGGTAGGTTAGGAACCAATAATGAACAAGCATTTGGGATTTATTGATTTAATATACTTAATTCTTTTATGAACTACGTTAAAAAAACGACTTTAACTCCTTACGGCCCGACTTTTGTCCATTAATTAATAGATTAAAACCTTCTCACAAGTGTAACACACACTATTCTGAAAACCTCATAAAAGTCGGTTCAGCTAATCGCACACAAATATACATACATACAGGTCAAGAACCTCCTTTTTTAGGTCTTAAAAAGCAACCAGATCACACAGCTTACGATGATGAAAATCACCTATACCATCATTAACTTTGCTTCAATTATTTTGTTTCAAAAGGCAAGGAAGGACCGCCTTCCCTCTGAAAAGGCTCTTCACTGACAGAATTTGTCTTGGTGATCTGACAATACATGCAGAAGTAAACATACAAATCATCATACCAATTCCTTGATATACATTTGCGACAGCACACCGAACTTATGTAGGGCCCTTCCATAATTCGTAGCGCTTGTGATGCTCACATTTGTCAATATCGGCACCCCTGGTATAAAGCGCTCCATATTAATATTAATACACGCTGAATGTTTATTCTCTCTGATTTCGGCGTGATATCGCCTTCGGAGATAAAATGTCACTCAAGGACGATGTCTTTGTCTTTGGGGGAATATATAAAATGCAGATTGTTTTCATACATATCAAAATAGAGCGATGATATTGGAAGCTAGGAATGTTTACTATGAAATAGAAATGATAATAATAAGTGTACCCTACTAGTATCTATTTATGAAGTAATATAAATGAAAATAAACACGGTTCGTAGTTTAATTCACAAAGATAAATGATAGCTAACATCATACAATTTTATTTATGGAAGTTTTTAAGTATAATTGTGATTTTAATTTTGCAAATAACTACCAACGATAATTTAATATTTGCAGTACGTTATTACAGTCAGTAATAGTAACCTTCCTTGTTAGTCATTATTACTCCTTCTACGGAATCGTCCTCCATTATTCGATCCACTATTGGATTTGCGCAGTTTATTGTTGCAGTCTGGAAGCAGGAAATTATTTACTTAAAGGTAGGTAGGTACAGGAATACCAGCTGTAATGTACCTATTTAAAATGATATTTGGAGGCTATAGGATTATAGCCTATCGCTATAGCTTAACTCTGGGCGATATATTATTATTGGCAAAAAAGTAGTCACATTACAATTATAAAAAAAAAAAAACAGTAAAGTCGAGTAACTTTCACGATGAGATTTTTCAATAAAAAATATAACGGAACAACAAATTATATTGTCAATGGTTTCACACTGAATACCAACATGACAAAAAAAAAACGGCGCGTATTACTTCGACAAAATTGTGAATTGTAACTTAATTTATTTTTTACTACTTAATTTACAGTGAACTTTCTTACAAAATACTAAAAATCACGTGTTCTGCAACACTTCGTAAATTTAATATTATTATATTTAATCGAAGCTGCGAGATTGCAACAGCTGTTCCCATTTGAAGGAGCACTCGGCATCGGCACTGTTTGAAATTGAAACCGAATTATTAGCACACTGCTCAGCGAGGGAACACAGTTGATTACCCAGATTACCGACTTACCGTGTAGGTAAGTAGATTATGGGATTTATTTGTCATCAAATATAATTTTAACATAATTAGAATAAGGTTTTAACTAATATTATAGGTACAACACATAGTGGTATCTTGATTAGGTACTTATAATATTCGACTTACTGTTCGAACAAGCCATTCGTCTCTTGCATCTTTCAACAAGTTGGTAATTATCTTCATTATAATGCTAGTTGTATAACTGGAAATAAGAAAACAATGATAGAAATGGATTGTTGGACCTAAACTATTTTTTTTAACTGGGCTTGCCCGTCGTCAATAACACTGCAAACCAAGCAAGCCAACAATCTACAGTCAGCAAGAAAATGTATAGGTTGGTAACCATGAAAACTTCGGAACGTACAGGCGCGTCTCAGGGACATGAATAACTGTAATAAATCGACCACGTATTTGCATTGCAACCCGTTTAGTGTTGCGGTTGTTCGTGGGTGGCGCCAAGAGCGTATCATCAGATCATCCGTATTCTCGTTTGCCGGTCTACCCCAAAATCAAAGGTAAACTATCACTCCGCGGTTACAATTCAATAGAAATAAATAAATAAGTAGGCTATTGTCTACCTTTCAAATTCTAAAGCAGTGAGAGATTTTTATGTCTGTCCAGTTTCCTCACCCACACGCTAGCTAGGAATTCATCGTCCCCAACCACGATGAGTTCATTCGTTTTGGTCATCATTCGAAATGCAACCACTTCGTTGGTAACATCCTGTTGGTTATGAGATTTAAAACTCAAGTAGTTGTATCAAAAAAGTTCTAATTAAACTGTTGAATCTGGAAAATTGGTATGATCCTGTTGTTTAACCATGTCCCGAAAGCATTAGGTTATGTATGTTTGCAATAATAATCGTCTTAATGCACGATTATTTGAATCGATTGGGGGAAATTATACTGCTATTAATTATTTCTTAGGTAGGGATTACAAAATACAAACGCATTATCCATATATTTTTATATTACTTTCAGTAACCGTAATGCATCTTAGAAAACCTATGTAGATTGATTTGGCATCCGTAAGGCTGCCTGTCCATTGATGTGGAGAGGAGCAGCGGAGCGGAGCTAGCGAGAATTGTGGAGCGGAGTTACGGACTGTGTCTGTCCATTGAGGCCGAGCGAGACAGAGGTCCGGAGCCAGCGAGTATTGCTGAGCGGAGTAATGGACTGTCAAACTTCAGCAGTATACTATACTATCCCAATATCCCATACCCCCGTCCCGCTCCCGAGACCGCTTCCCCGCCGCCGCCTCATTCGGCTGCCCCGCTCCGCCGCCTCGCACTGCTACCTCGCACCGCTACCACGCGCCGCTTCCGAAAATGTATGAATTTTTAAACTAGCTCGCAAATCTAACCAATAGAATTCTATTGGTTAACATTTCTTCGCTCCGCTCCGCTGCCCTTCTCCGCTTCTTTGAAAAGGCAGTCTAAAAGCATAACGCATTTTACCAATTCCTTGATGCAGTGCCGTATCTGTCGGAAAAGCGCTGGCAATTTGTTGGTCAACGCAACTTCCTCCCTTCTCGGCAACGTGTGTAATTTTACTTCGTCTGAAAATATCTAATATCATTGTTGTTAGATGTTAGGTAGCAAAATAGCAGGTTTTCTTTAACTTAGTAGGTGACTACTTTAAGCCCGAACCCGATATAGTTGGTCTGGTTGGCTATAGGGTAGAGTAGGTTGGGCTACAGCAGCACATGTATTTATAAAGGGCAAACAGTAAGAATGTAGTATTACTCTGACTGGGTTGTGGAGGGTAAATAACAGTTGCTGTATACAAAATACGTTGACTAGGTTTGGACTCAGTGACGACGTTCTCGAGCTTCTCGACAACATAATACGAGCAAGATAAAATAAAATATTGACTGCACGTTTGGCCGGTGCGGTGGCTGGGCAACCGGCTTCCGCGCAGCGTGTCGCGAGTGCGATTCCCGCACGGAACAACTCTTTGTGTGATCCATAAATTATTGTTTCGGGTCTGGGTCTCGTGTGTATGTGAACGTATATATTTGTAAAAACACCGACGACACAGGAGAAAATCCTATGGAGCAACATTAAAAAAAATGGTTTGGTTTGGTGGTATTGCTACTTACCATCTCTGAAATAAAGTAAGCCCGTCACATATAAGTGACGCTCAATACGATCGACAGTTTTCAGTGTTTTTTCGCAGAATTCCTGAAAAATGACATGCGTTATGTTTCATAGTGATGGACATAAATAAATACCTTAGGCTTATTAGCATAATAAGTGGGCATCTAAATAATAGCTACAGTTGATGCTCTTGTTTTGCTGGTAATGTTATGATATAATTCCACTATAAATGTGCGTATTCGTTCCCAAACTGTCCAACAATAAGAATACAATATAATTACATAGTTCAGTAGGTACTTGGAACTTACTTCAGGCATAGCCACCTTCTTTTTGTAAGGTCTAAATATTTGGCGAGACATTTTATTGTAAAGTAACTTTATACAATCAAAAATAATGTTGTAAAAGTAAATATTATCAAAAAAAAAAATGTAAATAAAAAATAGCAAGTAAATAGTAATATAAATGTCAAAACTGAAACATTTTTGAAAGATGTAAACATATTAGCCAGAGAGAATGTTAACTTCAAAGAGTATATTGTAAGTGTGGTGGGAAGTTAACTTGTAGATGACTTGTAGGCATAATACCCTTTAAAGGAGTATTTTCGTGTAGATAACTGATAAGGTGTAAATTCCTGAAACAAAATTTATGGTAGGTACATGCTCGGGTGCATAAACATGAATATTATTAATCTTCACTACATAGTATAAAACAAAGTCGCTATCCGCCGTCTGTCTGTGCCTATGTATGCTTAGACCTTTAAAACTACGCAACGGATTTTGATGTGGTTTTTTACTAGATAGAGTAATTCTAAGGAAGGTTTATATGTATACATGCATATTGCACCCGAGCAAAGCCGGGGCGGGTCGGTAGTTAAAAATAAAAATCAATTTTCGTTAGTAACCTTGAGAGTAGTAAACTCGAGAAAGGCTGAACCGTTTTGGCTAATTTTGGTCTTGAAATGTTCGTGGAAGTTCAGGGAATGTATAAAAGGTAAGAATATTTTTTTAGGCGGAACGAAGTTTGTCGGCGCAGCTAGTCATGTAGGTATAAAAGTTTAATACAAAAACGTACTCCCACGTCCACCTAATGCCATAATATTTTCCATACAAATATTTATCGCGGTTAGCAATTATAGTTGTGACTCCTCTGGGGTCGGTGTCCATGGGCGACGCTGATCGCTGACTATAGGGTGATCCGTCTGCTCGTTTGCCTCCTATAAAAAAATAAAATTAAAAAAATTGGCACATTGGCACAAGTATCTAAGTAGGTAGCTATGTAGCAATATAGCATTTAGTGTGTTTGCAAGTAATAAGTCAAATATGAGCATATTGCACATGAGTATAAACTTGCGACTAGCTCTCGCATACAGGCTCCTTGGATTACTTCTCTTTGTGAAGACGTTAATAAGAAAAGAGATTTCGAAATTAATACTTAGGTGCCTGGTTTTAGAGTTTAGTTTACTAGAGCAGGTTTTAGCTCAAAAGCAACTGAAGTTGCGATGGACGCAGGGAATTTCTTATTAGAATTTTAAACCGAGTGTTGTAATAACAAAATATAGTACAAAACCTTTTTGGTGTTTCGCAATCGATAAGAGTAGTGGACTATCATTATTAGGTACTGCATGAACGAGACCACAAAATGTTGATTCAATTTTTATGATAACACTTTCCACCGATTGCTCCTTAATACCAGGACTGCTCTACTTAAAAAGTTCAATTCTCAGAAAAAGCAGAAAGGAGTGTTAATATGGTAAACATTGCTTAGGAATATAGACATAACTTTGGTTTTGGTCAACCTTACGAATACAATATTTATTCTTATGCACAAAAAATGTGTACAAAGGCGGGTTTAGTGCCTTAGGCACTGTCTGTAGTCGACCTTTAGGTGAGGTATAGACGATTTAAGACTACTATTATCAATTTTGATCTGTCTGAGAATCGTGTGGTCTTTGATAGGTGCCCTTTACATAGGTGCTCTAGGCTATTCAGTGAAAATAGGAGTAGAAATATCACTATATTTCACAAATACTGTACCTAAGATCGTGGAGACTAAAACGGGTAAAATAATAATAAATAACTAATTAAATCTACAAATCTTTCGTTCAGCTACTTAATAATACTTCAGAAACAGGCAAGCTTCTGTTAACCGTACTCTTAATTAGTTCAAAGTAATAAAATCAATTAAATAAGTCGATAAGCCTTTGGGAAGGGAGGTTAATTAAAGCGAGATCGATGGCTGCGACAGGATTAAGAAAATAAGGCATTATTATGTGATATTGGTATTTGGTTTGGTCGTAGTGGGTAATCATTAACATAAAGGGTAGTAGGTATTTCTTCACACTCCGATAATAATGACATTATTAAACTGTCAAACACCGAGCGGTCACCGGTGACCGCAACCTATTGTTCTTTAATTGTGTCTATAAATACGGTACTCGACGAGTTAAACACGTGCATAGAAATAATAGCTGAAAAATGTGAAAAATCATACTTATTAATATTTTAACTTAAAAATTACCAGAGAAAAGTTTCAGAAGAACATTTTATCGTCTATAAACGCTCTGTAGTAATTTGGTTTATTATTGGTTTTATTGCTTTACCTAAACTAGAAACTGAACCCAGAAACAAGTAGTAACTTGCACTTACATAAAACTATGCATAAGGCTATGAATGAAACACTGGGCCTGTTTTGAACCTACTATAGCGTTTTATTGTTCCTTTGGCACAACAATTAATGGTACAGACTTATTGCTACACAGAGATCGTCGTTTTGTAATTTCTATGAATTGTTTAATTTGGTCTATATCGCTTTTCATTTCGCGTAATTCCTTAAATATCTGGTTCAGGGTCGTGCTTGTGTCATTCGCGCATTGTTTATCTGCAATACCTTTGATTGTGGATGATATTTCATCCAGTTTCATTTGAAACACCATTGATCCTAGGTGTTCGTCAGATTGCTTCTTCTGTAATTGAACCCGTTCAAAAGTGGCTTCTCTCAACCGAGTGGGCAGACGGTTACGATTGTAGCACGTAGCTTTACGTGGTCGCAAAACGATAACGCTCTCCAACCTTATGTTGTTTTTTAATTTACTGTACAGGCGTTTCGGTAGTATACTTTCAAGTAATTTATTACAAACGATATCTTCAAGCGATGTTATAAATTCCGCTTGCTTCTCTAACCGTTTAATACTACCAATAATTTCTAAATTATTGACGTCGTTAACTGCCACACCAACTATCAAATTCATGAGAACTATTGAAACTAGAATCAGAAACGTAATAAAGATCAAACGTGACATGAACAGTGATCCTGATGCTTTTAAGATGCTATCCTTGCTCAAGGAGTCATTATAATCAAATTCGGATGTCATCATGACCAACGTTGTGACGAAAGCGCCCCAGGGCCCTTCGAACGGAGGCTTGGCATGGAAATGTATCATGAAGCTCACTGAGAAACCAAATACCAGGAAAACGAATGATAGTAAAATCTGAAAGAAACAAGGAATTGTAAATATAGATGTTTCTGACCAAATAAGAAGATTTTAATACAAAAACACTCACCTTTAAGACTTTACTTGCAACTTTACCAAACATCAAAACATAGTATCCCCAGTCAGGGAATCTAGAGAGTAAGAACATCATTTCGAACCAAGAAAAAAGTAGAGCAAAGGTGGCGACAAGACGCGCCCATTCTGAACTACTCTTGGTTTCCCATGACACAATTCGAGGTAAGAAAACCGCCAGCGTTATATATCCGATTTTCAACCATGTCTCCCAACAAATAAGGTATCTCTTACTTTTCATTTTGACAAATACTATTTCCTGGTGGCAAAATGAAAAATATTATTATGAGTATTATTGTGTCTCAAGTCATAAAGTACTTTTGATTGTTATCATACTTACTTGAATTACAATCATGCATATGGTCAAATAAATGATATGTATCCAAACGTTACTACGGAAAAATATTGGAACAGTTTCTTCTTTATCTTTGTAATAAAAAATAGAAAGAGCATAAATATTGAGAGATAACACAAAACAGGCGTGTAATATCAGGATACTATAAAAGAATGATAGCAATGATTGCCATTTCAGGAAAAGAAATGTTTGCACCAAAGGATGGAGCAATAGTCTATGCTGGTCGTATCTATTTCCAGTATTTATCAAGGCATTGATAACTCTCATTTGTTTCATATCAGATTCTCTTGGAATTAACACTCTGTAGTCGACTGTAACTTCACAATTCGCTTCTTCGAGACTTTTTCCTTGGCTTGATATGTAAGAGTCAAATATTTCTTGTATGAATTCAGTTGGTTTCGACAAGTTATTTATTAATATATCAATAGGAGCTAGTTTTAATTTCGGTTGTCTACCTCTCCCGACTTCTGAGAGATCAGCTCCCTTGCGGAGAAGCAATACGATCATTTCTCTGTTTCCATTACTGCAAGCCTCATGTAACGGTGTTCGTCCGGCAGAATCAGGGCAATGGACGGTGTTACTATCATGTTTTATAATTATATCTGCTATTTCGCAATAATTTTTTCTTGCTGCTATATGCAGAAGTGATTGCCATTCAAGAATGTCTTTACCAATACAATCTTTGCATGGCACATAAATACCTACTTGTGCACCTTTGGAAATTAGTAGTTCTGCGCATACAGGGTGATTATTTTTGACTGCATAAAATAATGGGGGGCCTTGATTATCAGACTTGTTAACCAATCTGACAGTAACATGAGGATTATACTCAAGTAAATATTCCAATATATCCTGATTGCCTTGTTCAGCTGCTATGTGGAAAATATTGGTTTTCATAGCAGTTACGAGCCCTATGTCAGAACCGGAGGAAATAAGTAATTTTAGAACGTCCAATTGGCTATGACTGACCGCTTTAAAAAGAGCTGTCTCTCCTTTTTCGTTACGGAAGTCAAGAGTGTTAGTTAATTTTGCAATAGTTATTATTTGTCGTAGAATATCAATGTTGCCCATTTGCGCCGCTATATGAATAGGAGATTCACCATTTGCCTGAAAGAGAATAAAATTTTTAGGAATATTATAAGAAACAGTCGGTTTATTTTCTTAGGTATACCTATTAATTTTTGGAAATTACCTTCATGGTAATGCTTGCTCTTGCTCCGAGAGCGATGCACACGCCTTGTGTCCAGCCTTCCTTGATTGCTGCACACAGTACAGTGAAACCTTGTTTATTCTTCACGTCTATTGTTGCCAAATACGGATCTTCATTATTGTATTTAAAATCTGCCAGCAACTGGAAATCAGTTACGTTCATCAGTTTTTAACATTTTAGTGCATACATATTTTTTTGCTAAGTGATAAAGCCCTTTAAATAAATAATAAAAAAAATTCTACCTGCAACAATTCCTTGTTTCGTTTTTTAACGCAGATATGCATAGGGGTGGCGCCCTCACTGTTCCAACCGGTGGCAGAGGCTCCACTCAGAAGCAATTGCTCAACAGAACCCTCACTCTCAAGCTCCACTGCTGTATGCAACGGAGTGTCAATAGAGTTCAAACTAGGACTGTACCTACATTTTTGAATTTTTTTCCCAGAAGTCAGAAGCAGATTTATCGTTGCTTTGAAACTGAAAAGAAAATTCCTTAATATATTGATGGTTCCAAGATTGACGAAGAAGATGTTAGATTGCGCGATTTTAGCCCTTATAATAACTACGTATTACTAAGCTTTTTAAAAGCGTTACTTACTCCTTTTCTTCAATCTTGTACCCCATGTAGTGGGCATAGCCAACGACATCAAGCGGAGTCCTATAAAATTGGTCTTGAGCGTTTATGTCAGCGCCCGCAGCAATCAAAAGTTCCACGCAATGGTGCTGTGCACGTGCACAAGCAGCGTGTAACGCTGTCCATCCATAGCACCATCCATGTTTATTCTTTTCGTTCTGGAATGGCGGTAACTGCAACACACAAAGTATTGTTTCCCCCTTTGATTGATTGAGTCACTAAGTTCAGAAGGAAAATAATGTACTATGTTATTTTGTAGGTATTTTTAGTACTGTTGTACTCGTGGTTAGTCAGTATTACCTCTTCAGATATTATAAATGAATACTAGACGTCCTATTTACCATGTCTTTGATATTCCTGCAATTGTGTTCCATTCCATCGCTCCAGTCTACTTGAAGTTTAACCTCTTCGTTCGATTTGCACGTCATGTTCGTGAGCGCATGCACTGGTGTACTATGATATTTTATTTCTCCGACTATTTGCGATGACAAAGGAACACATTCCACAATGCGTTTCCTTAGACCTAAAATAGGTTTGAACATGGATATAAGTATCATTGATAGTCCTTAAAAAAGCTTATTAAAATATGTTTTCATCTTATTCTACCTTCAGGGAAGTTGAGCATTAAAGCAATCTGTTTAACGTTTCCTTCCCAAGCGGCAAAGTGCAGGGGCGTTCTGCCTTCCTTATCAGCTCTATACACATCAGCTCCGTGCTTGATAAGTAACTCCAAGACGCCAGTATTCTGCATTGCTGCGAGGTGGCACACGGACACGTGGTTCAGCCGGCAAGTTGCATTGGGACTGGCTCCCATTGCCATCATCCTAAAAATACAAACGTAGTTTTATCTTATATACCCCTCTAGCCATTGAATCCACGCATAATCACACATACACTACTTTTGGCAGTTGTTTGAGGCAATTTTTATCAAGTTTTCTCTTACCTGCTCATAAACGCCATTTCTCCGCCGGCCATCGACTCGATAAGTCGTGTGTTCAATCTGGTCACATGTGTGGCACTTTGCCTCATCGTGAGAGTACATTCAAGTATTTCCAGAGAGTTCTTAGTCAAATTTTTGACGAGAGCTGTTGGGAAAAATGGTTTTAAAGTCGCACCTGATTCGCTAGTTGATGGTGTAGCCGCCCTGAAAATGTGATAAGATTTGAATGATAAACACGTCATTTTATGAACGAATGTTTGATGGTGTCCATTTTCCTTAGCGGGTTTTGGAGGGCAGGCAGTCACTTCATGCAAAATACTGAGATTTTGAAATCTAGTTGAGATTTATAGTGCCAGTTGCATTTAAGCATAGGCAACGTGTCACGGGTTCGATTCTCACACGGAACAACTCTTTTTTTGATCCACAAATTGTTGTTCCGTATCTGAGTATTATGTGTATGTTTGTAAACCAACCCACGACACAGGAGAAAATCCTAATGTGGAGCAACGTTAAAAAAAGCAAAGAAGGTTTAATTAAAAAGATATCTTCGTATCAGCTTCAGCGAGTCTCTACAATAGGTTTAATGTTAGAGAGTATTTATTACTAAATGTTTACATACGGCTTTTCCATACTCTTCCTGTTATCCAGACTCCTCGACTTCAGTTGTCGATTGATCTTCTCTTGCCGATGCTCCACTATGTCAGATACATTGCTACTGTTATCGGTTAAAACGCTATCATCTATGAAAATACGAAACACAATTAGTATACTTTAAAGTTATCTGTACGAACGAAATTTATAAATACTAATAATATTATTTATTTATTTACTTATTTATTTATTTATTTACTTATTTATTTATTTATTTACTTATTTATTTATTTATTTACTTATTTATTTATTTATTTACTTATTTATTTATTTATTTAAGGACAACCAACAAAGCATACACCAAAATACATGATAGGTTTTTTAACATATTTTAACACTCTATAGTGTAGCCTTAATTAAAGGCTGCCACGACATGCATTATAAAAGAACAGGATATTACAACATTATAATATTATAATATTTTAAGGAATAAGGTGCTGTTTCTTTAATACAAACATGTATTAATAATAAAGATAAAGACATTTATTTGCGTAAAAACATTGTACACAAAGATGTTATAGTTACATTATAATAGATTTGTGTCGCAATGAATATTGTTACATTTAGATTAAAGTTGTCCAAATCGCCTCTACGCAGTTGGCTTCAGCCCCTCGTACACCTCCCAAATGATCGGGACCCCGTGGTCACGTTATTAGTAAAGACAATAATATTATTATTTTATTAAAAACATTTTAATATACATCTATTTCTTAAAAAATACAGGCACAGAAAACTGACGTAAAACAACACTTGCGTTGTGTTTCGTCGTGTGAGTGAGGTTACTGAAGGCCCAATTACCCGCTTCCCCAATCTCCCCAATCCCCGAATCCCCAACAATCCTCAAATGCCTAATTCTTAATAGACCGGTGTTTCGGGTCTCCATGGATGGCGCTGATTACTAACCATCAGGTGATCCGTATGCACATTTACCGGTTCAACTCATAAAAAATATAAAATACAAAAAGGCACGTACCTGAATCACGGGGCAGGTGTAATGAAGCAGATTTGGCATCATCACGGTGGCTATTCTTAAATCGAATCATAATTCAACTGATTTACATAGTCGTACATTACTTACTCCTACAAATAGCAATTAAAACTGAATCTATATGACATTGTTATATATTTTATTTATTTTCCTTATTCCTCGTAAGTATACGGAGACAAATCCTATTAGGTATATAAAAAACGGTGACTAGAACTGACTGACAGACGGACAGCACAGAAAAAGTATGATGACAGGGTATGAAAAATAAAAATCTAATTAGTCCGTAAGTTAGGTAATGAAAAAATATTAGACACGTATTTTTTTTGTCGTATAATAAAACAATACTTAGATAAAACGAATCAAAGTTTAGGAGTGGGGGCTAAAACGTCATTTCTACGTATAAAATGTACATAGAAGTGACGTAACGCGACATTTCAAAGCAATATATCGACGAAAGTATCAGTTTCTTTAAGAAAATAAAAAAATACGTGTCTAATGATTTAAAATAATCTACCAGACGGACATTAATATAAAAATTAGGCATCTACCTTATTTAAGTAAATAATTTGTCTTCCTTAAGGCTTGAGTAATTTATTGGTTGCTTAAATTATATGTAAAATTAAATTCATCATCTTGATCATCAGCCCATTCTCGTCAACTGTAGGGCCTCTCCAATGATACGCCATCGAGCTCCATCTTCAGCTCCACGCATCTAACCACTTCCAGTCAACTCCGCCTAACTGGAGTATATATTCACCCTAAAATAAACATCTTTGTAAAATAGTCTGATTTATTCACACCTTACAATTTATTGTTTCGTAATTAGTAACGACTCCTTTCTCAATAAAGTAAAAACAATTTTACACAGCAAGGAGAATAACACAATATAAATCGCAGGCGAAGTAAGAGGCGAGAGCTAGTGATATAATATAGATGTGATTCAGAGTGTGTTTTCGCAAATGAGTAATTAAGGATATTTTCTATCTATGCGTAAAACAATGTATGTAATACTAGCTGTTGCCCGCGAATTCGTCCGCGTAGCATATAAATTTTAAAAAATTTTTTTGGTATCAATTTCCTAAAATAGCCTACGAGTCTTGCAAAATCGGTGCAGCCATTCCAGAGATTTGCCAGTACAAACAGATAGAGACAGACAAAAATTGTGAAAAAAAGTTATTTTGGTATGCATATCGTATGTATATTCATATTAGGTATATGAGTAAAAAGTGTAGTAAAAAGCAAACAGACACTCCAATTTTATTTATCTGTATAAATTATTATTTCACTGACCTAGTAAATATTATGTAAAACTACCTAACACAGCTACTGATTTTACGGACATCACGGTCGAATAGGTATTTAATTAACTTAAATAATATATCATTTTCTATAAAATACCTATTTAATTAATTTATGGGTTTTTTCAGTTTTAGATGGAAGTTAGTATAGTATGAACAATCTAGAATTGTTCTTAGTTCATAATACGTTAGTTACTGGGACATATCAATATACACTACCGTTGTCGAAACAAGTGGGTAATACCCACTTTTTAGTCATAACTCAAAATAACGCATTTTATCCCCGAAGGGGTAGGTTGCACATTTTGGCACTTATTGCCAATGTATGCCATGTCAAACCCACTTTTTACTATTTTATGTCATGAGTCACAATTCCAGACAATTCCAGACTCCGTGCTATCACTGAGAATTTTTTTTAAACCCGACCGTAATATTTTACCCGACCCGAGAATCAAACCAGAGACCCCTTGCCCGACAGTCGCACTTGCGACCACTCGGCCAACGATCATATAGCATTCTTTAATTATACTATCAACTAATATTCTTTTTTAAAGTAAATTTTTATGCCACCTTGTTTTCCTAGTATGTATGTATGTATGTATAACTTCTTGCATTAGATTTGGGGTTGGTACTTGGCTGTATAGTATGTCAGTATTTTACGCGGAGCGACTAATGTCTGCAACAACCACAACCCAGGCTGATACCATTTTTTTTTTTTTTTTAAGGGGGGAAAATCATCGAATGACTGCTCCCGCCTGGGTGAGGCGGAAGGGAGTGTCAGACTCTTACTGACTAAAAACCACCCCGTTCCTTCTCCTGCACGTCGAGCCGGAGCCCCGGTTACCCGTTAGGTTCTCCGCGACTCCGAATCGGCATCGGCCCTATTGGGCCCCATCTGTGGTGGTCTGATGGCTCTTTGAGGCGCGCGCGGAACGCGACGCGCCGTACGCTCGGGTCTGTTTCTGGTCGGACGGGGAGCCACCCATGCTCGCCGTCCGCAGGCCCGCGCTTACGGTGGCCGGAGATCGTCCCGCGATCCCCGACGCCCGGTGTGTCCTACGCGATGGCTGGGTTGCGAGGAGGCAGCGCTTCGCTGCCTCACGCGTCCCGCCTCCTCCTTAGCTAGCATGACTGCTTCGCAAAAGGAGGAGACGGCATCCCAGTCCCCCTCGCTCCGCATCATGGCCTGCACTAGGCCCGGACGCGAGAGGTCGCCATCGCCGATCACTTCCCTGAGGGCACGGCGGTGCTCAGCCCACGCAGGGCATTCCGCTACGGTGTGTTCCACCGTGTCCTCAGGGCGGTCCTCGCAGTGATGACACCCGGGCGTTTCCTCCCGCCCCATCAGACACAGGTACCTCCCGAAACTTCCATGTCCGGTGAGGACCTGCGTCAGGCGGTAGGTGAGGACGCCGTAGCGTCTCTCAAGCCACTCCTCAAAGAGGGGTCTTACCGCTGCAATGGCAGCGAGCCCAGCCCTCGGTTGCGACAGTCGTTGCTGCCATTCCGCCAGGCTGATACCATATACTTAGTTACATCTATTATTAGACTGACCACTATATTAAAATAGAAGTCTACCTTCATAATCTATTGGTATCATTTGTGCTGTGTATAGGTATATAGAGGGTGTCCAGTAAATAGTGCACCATACTGTGTTGGAAGATAGTTAGGACCATAACCTACCTAAAAAATCCAAATGTTCAGCGAAAATGTACGGTTTGAAAGTGATATTACATTTTCGCAAATGTCGAAAACACATAGGACAATAAAAAAGTAATATAGTGTACAATGGGCGGTCCTATTGTACAAGACGATCTCTTACAGACAACCTTTGGATGGAGCTGTATTAAGAGCCAGTCAGTCAGTCAGATATTAGTGTAACAGCTACTGATTTTACGGACATCGCGGTCGGATAGGTATTTAATTAACTTAAATAATATAAAATTTTCTATAAAATACCGATTTAATTAATTTATGGGTTTTTTCAGTTTTAGATGGAAGTTACTATGAACAATCTAGAATTGTTCTTTGTTCAGTCCCTACAATACCCCTAGACTAAGAAATTACTCATTTTCACTTTGATGAGTAAGTAATTAGGTACTTAGTTTGTACCTACATCCACGAAAGATTGATTTCTGACTAATTCCTAAACTGATAATTTCTTATTGTGAGGAAAAACCATTATTCAGTAATTGCGGTAATAATAAATAATTATAAAATTTTGTTCCATTTACTTAGTTATGTTGTGAAGATTCGTCATAATATATCGTATTTGTGGTTAATTTAAACATACATTTAAATTAATTAGAAAAGTCTTGCTATAAGAAGGATGAGAACGGTTTTTGCCTTCGGCTTTATTTGCGTCAACGAAACAATGGATTAAATACGCTCTCTCGTTTTTCTTTAAATTACGTGGATGATCGAGCTTTGTTCGATGTGTTTTTAGTACATAATTTTTGGAAAAAACGAATAATATTTGAACCGAGGTTCGAACTCGAATGTCCTGCGTGGCACGCGTCCGCTCTCCCTACTAAGCTATTTTAGTTTAATATGTAATGGCGAAATTTAAATTCGTACCATAAGGATAAGGAAATCCGTATAAGGATTTGTAATCAATGAAAACAGGGACAAAACGACATTTCCTGAAAATGTAATCTAGCTAGATTGATTTATCGCCCCCGAAACCCCCATACATACAAAATTTCAAGAAAATCAATGGATGCGTTTCCGAGATCGTTGATATTATGTATGTAAAAGAATTGCTTATTTAAAGGTATTATATAGATACTAGCAGACCCAACAGACGTTGTCCTGCATATCCACTTGGATGTATAAACAAAAATTCATTCAAATTAGTTCAGCTGTTTAGGATAAATAACCTAAACCTCGACTGCAGCGCCATCTGCCGGGCTAATTTGTGAATCTAAACCATCCAGGGCGCCACACAAACGCGTACAGAAAAAAATTATTTAAATCGGTCAAGCCGTTTAGGAGGAGTTCAATGATATTATACACACGTACAGAAGAATTATATATATAAAGATTGATAGATCAGTAGCTGACATCATTTCTGATTCCATTGGTCATCTATGTTGCGAAGTAAATCTTTGAAAAATTATTATAATATATAACCGACGAAGCTTATACCTATTCGTGACTTGGACGTGGAGTGCAGGCAAGGTTGGAAAGGGGGCTGAAAAGGACTTCGCGAAGATGTGGCAATAAAATGCAAGTTGAGGGTTTTTAAATGTTTATAATTATCTTATTTATTACATTCGTTTATTTACATTCTTTTAGTTATTTAATAGGCTATTAAACAGCAGCCTATCAGTACACAATCAAAATGTATTTCTAATTGTTACACCTAATGAAATAAATGTATACAGATTCAGACGGTCTACGCAAATAACTGTTCACAATTTTGTAATATTATCGGTATGTCCTAAATACCATGGTTAAGAGGTAACCTAAAGAATAAAGAATGGAGTTTCTTGCGAGTTCTTCTCCATCCGAATCTACATTTTGAAATAAGCACCTAGCTTAACTTATCTTCACCGATGAACTGACTGACAGACTATTATTTATTTTGTATTTTTTGACGTTTCAAAAGTTTTTGACTTTGACTTTGTCTTTGAAAAAAGTTGATTAAATTGCTATTCAAAGTTAGGACACTACTTTTTCTTGATAGGTGTCTGTTCTGTACAATAAAGATTATTTTGAGAATTGGGTACTTGCCTTAATCAAAAATAATTATTTCGACTGTTCAATACAATAAAGTGTTAAAAAATAACACTTTCATCAATTGATTTTACGACCACCTTAATTTTAGTATTTTCCAGCAATTTTTAAGAAATAAGTATGCTGTTTGATTTTAAATAAACGTGACTCCACAATACACAATCTCCTACAAAATTCATAGAAAACTGTCGTTTTTTCACAGTTCGAAAAAAATATTGAATTTGACTAGTTGGCAAGTACCCAATTAATTTTCCAAGAAAGGTAGATACAATGAAAATGCATTTTCTTGACTGAATCATTTCGACAATTTGTTCAATATCATATCAATTTTATTGTTCAGAGTATCTATTGAAGCTTTGATTTCGTTTATTTCTAACTTTGTTTGATTCCTTATTTCAATAATCGCTGAATCAAGTTTTGCTAAGTGTCCCGCGGCATCTTTAATGTTTTTATTAGTTATATTTCTATCAGTCTTTGTATTCTTCAATATATTATTATCTTTTTTCAATTTAACGGTCGCTCTGTATATTTCGTCTAATTTCTTTTTATAGTTTTGAGAACCTAACTCGTCATCTCTTTGCTTTTTTCTAAGTTGAGCTTTTTCGAAAATAGCCTCTCTAATGCGGGATGGCAGAGATCTATAGCACTTAGAATTAGGTACACTAGGACTAAGGTCAAATTTAGAACATATCTTTTTCTTCCCTTTTAACATTTCTGCAAGCCGTGTTGGTAAGATTTTTTCCAAGATTTTATTATAAACTAAGTGTTCTAAGGATCCTAAAAATTCTACTTGTTTGCCAAGTCTTCTTACATTGCCAAGTACCCGTAAATTATGAAGGTCATTGACAGCGACACCTACCATCAGGTTCATGAGTACTATGGCTGCTAATATCAGAAATATTAAGAAGATGACGCGGACAACAAACAATGAGGTGACGTATTGGTCGGAATCACTTTCTTCGACAAGATCACCATAGTCAAATTCCGATGTCATCATTACTATAGTTTTGACGAGGGCAGCCCAGGGCGACTCGAAGGGTGTTTGGGAATGAAACTGTATCATAAAACTTAGAGCGAACCCAATCACCAGGAATGCGAATGTTAGAAGGATCTGAAAATTAAATAATAGACTTCAAACTCTACGTACTCACTATAAAAATTGATAGACCACCCAACAACAATACAGTTGTCTGGCTAATCAAGGAAAATATCAGTAAAGATGTGAATAAGAACAATCATAAATTACCTTTATAACATTTGTAGATACCTTCCCAAACATCAGTACATAGTATCCCCAGTTTGGAAATCGGGATAGTAGAAACATCATTTCCAGCCAAGAAAGTAGTAGAGCCGCTGTGGCAACATGTCTTGGCCAGTCCAATTCTTTATCCGTTTTAATTTGTGAAGCATATGGCAGGATTGCAGCGAGGCATACAGAACTGAACTTTATCCAAGTTTCTAACTGTAGAAAGTACCCGTTGCTTACGTTCATGTAGAGGACTTCCTAAAAAATAGGACAAAATTAGTTCTTATAAAAATAAATCTGTTGTGTAATACAAAATTATGTAGTAATATATTTTATACTCACTTGTAACATGACTGTAACAATAGTGATGTACATAATAACAGCCCAACAGGTAGCATTAAAAATCATCGGTGCTGCAAAACCTGTGTCTTTATAAAAAAATACTGATATAATGTACGTTGTCAATGACAGTACGAAGAAAGCATAGAACGCTAACATCGTGTAGAAAAACGGGAGGAGAGCTTTCCACTTTAAGAATAAAAAACTTTCCAGTAAGGGATGTACCAGTAGTCGCCTTTGACCATATCTATCTCCGGTGTTCAGGAGGGCATCTATGACGTTCATTTGTATATTTTCATCTTCTTTAGGCACCAAAATTTTATAATTCACAGTAACTTCACAATCTGGATCATGAAGGTTTAAATCATTCGTAGAAATGAAAGTATCAAATATATTTTCCATAAATTCAGTGGGCTTCGACAAATTGTTCATAATCATATCAATCGCGGTCGACCTACACTTATTTGGACCATATGTGGCTCTAGATAAATCAGCGCCTTCCTTGAGGAATAGCGTAATAATGTCTCTACTGCCATAATGACTAGCTGTGTGTAGTGGAGTCCATCCCATATCATTGATGACATGGACAGTGTCTTCGTTATTTTTCATTATAATTTTTGCAATTTCCACGTTATTATGAATGGCTGCGATGTGCAAAGGTGTTGAGCCTTTCTGAAGTCCGTAAGAAGATCTTAGACTTCCATACGAGTTTCTGGATAATAGTATCTTGACGCATGCTGGGTGATTGTTTTCTACAGCGAAATGTATGGGCCCGTATCCTTTTCTATCGTCAGCTGTTAGGTAATTGATCATTCTCCTAGTTATGATATAGTCGTGGTCTAGTAAGACTGTGAGGACATCTAGGTAACCTTTCTCTGCAGCTATATGGAAGACGTTAACTTGTCTTGTTAAAGTTTTAGTTATTGAGGCTCCTTTTTCAAGAAGTCTTTTAACACATTCTAAATGACCATTAATAACAGCTTTAAATAAAGCTGTTTCTCTTCGAGTGTTAGTAGCGTCTATTACATCGTAATGTTTAGCTACATTTAATATTTCATTTAATATTTCTACATTGCCAAACATTGCTGCGAAATGTAATGGTGTATCATAATTGTTATCCTGAAAATACAAGTAGTGACGTTAATCATAATTACTTAAATACTAAAGTATACATAAGTATTTAAATTGTTAAAGGATTTTCCTCAAGTTTAGTAACAATTTTATTAGTACTTTAATGGAGATGTTTTATAACGTGGATAGTATGGTACATACTCTGGCTGTTACGCTGGATCCTGCTTCAATCGCGATGCTCACCCCAGGCGCCCAGCCCTCTATGATGGATTTATAAAGAACAGTATGTCCGCCCTTGTCTTTAACATCTATTGCTATTGGAACTTCTTTATCTTCTCCATCACAGTATCCATGGTTTGCTAAAATCTAAAGAGAGTAATATTGTTTATAAATAAACCTCAAGAAAGAAAGAACAGGTACTTAAATTTGATCGCCTATTGGCGAGGTTATCCAACAAATCTGGCGTAAAAGTTTTATTTGCCATGATTTCACGAGGTAAAAAATATCCATTACCTGCAAATGTTCTTTAAGTTTTTTCTTGACGCATATATGCAGCGGTGTCGTTCCTGCCCGATTAAGCCAGTTGACTGGCATTTTGATACCCACGAGAACCGACACTGCTTCCAAACTACCCAGTTCAACAGCCGTATGAAGCGGAGTATCAACTATTTTCTTGTTTTTGAATGTGAGGTTCTGACTATTGGCACCAACAAGCAATGTTACTAATTCACCAAATCTGTAAAAAGTTATAAGTTCAAATTTAGATGAGTTCCATAATATTTCATAATTATAATTATATATATATAGGATTTTTCAAATGAAAAGGAAGAGTGTTTCTTCTCTTTGAAATTTAAACAAACAAACAGGGAGTGTGAAACAAAGTGGTTTTAATTATGGTAAACGGTAGTAACATACTTCTGAGGATCAATGACTTGACCAGTATAAAACGCAGATCCAGCGACATCCAAGGGGGTTTTTCCAACAAGATCCCGTGAACCCAGATCTGCGCCTGCAGCTAGAAGGAGTCGAGCACTGTGACATTGGGCGCGTGCACTCGCCGCGTGCAATGCTGACCAGCCTAGTTGAAACGTTGGTAGCTAAGAAGTGATACATAATTGAGATATTTTTTTTAAAGACATGATTTTTAAAAACGACTAAAATAATACGATATAGGTACTTACATTTCGTTCGAGACTTCTGTTATGACCTTCCCTTGTGTTATCCCTCCAGTGTGTTGGTAATGCGGCATTGGTGCAGAAGTCGCATTTAACGTTGATAAATTCTATTATATCTGGAGTCAAATTTTTTACTTCATTCTCAGTGGCGTCTATTATGTCGCCAGCATCTAGTCTATCTTGTAATCCTGTAAAGATAAGAAAGACAATATTTTTGAAGGTTTCTCCTATTGAAATATTGACTATTGTTATGTTTACGCGTGTCAGTTCTGAGTTATTTATAATTGGTAATTATAATTAATTAATAATAATACGCTCTTACCCTTTGAAAAACCAAGCAAAATGGCGACTTGTTTAACATTTCCTGCCCAAGCGGCCAAGTGCAATGGAGTTCGACCAAGTCTATCCACCCTTTTTCTATTAGCTCCTGCTTTGAGCAGTACTTCCAGGGCTCCATCAGTCCTCAAGGCTGCCAAGTGACAGGCTGAAACACAGTCGATGCCACACGTTGCATTAGGGTTTGCTCCGGCTTGCACCAGTCTGGTAATCAAAAAGTTCACATTTATTTTGTTACATATCAGATACGTTAGTCATTGATGATTTTTTGGTTTATCTTTCGAACTAACCTTTCAATTTCTTGTACTTCCCGATTTATAACAGCTTCTAGTAAAGATCTGTTTAGTTTTCTGAATCTAAGGCTTAGTCTGGAAATTTTTGGCAATGTAACTGCTGGTACCATGAGTAGCTTATTGTCTGATATTGAAAGATCTTCTGAAACATTGTCTCCTTCATCTGAATCTGTGGTCTTTTGTAGTTTCAGCAGTGGTTGACGGTCTCTGAAATATAACATATTGTGTTGTACTGCGCTGACAAAACGTATTTTTTTGAATAGGATATATTTTAAACAGAACCTCAAAACCATTTTTTGAGATCTTGTTACAATTTGGCTATCGCACTTTGTGTTTGCAGACAAATACGCTTGTGTTCATTAAGTAGGTTTTGGACAACTTGTCTACTAAAGTCTTAAATAATATGACCTTCAAAACAAATGTCATTGTGTCTTATTTGAATTTTTAGGTTTATAAGTTTGGTTTTTTTATGTTATTAGCAACTTACTCCGATGTATCGAAGAGGCTTACACTCCGGGGCCGGTACAGTGCTCTTCGTTGGTCACATCCATTGGCAGGAGTCTCGGATACAGGCAATACGCGGCATCCCTCATTTTCCACCGAGTAGTGAGCTGGTTTTAAATTAATCATATTACATAATTGGAACGATCTATTAGTGCTTCATTGTTTGTCTACTAACATTTTCTGTTTACACATACTTGATGTAGTTAATAAGAATATGTTAGTAAACTTAACTGTTTTTATATTATTCGTTAAATTGCTGCCTTGTTGATCAAATAGTCGTAAGTTCGGTTGCTAAACCACGTTTATTATTATCAAGATAAGTTTCGGAAAGTAAGTGGGATTTACAAGACTATCCTGTTATTGTAGTACAAAGTTGAAAATGGTATTCAGAATATGATAAGGACCATTTTCGTATGAGATCCGTATCATTGCTCCCAAGAACTGGGTGTCAGATTTGAAATACCTACATGTGCAATTTTTATAATCGACTTCATGTTGTCAATGAATATTAAAGGTACCTAAACTAGTTTTCGCATTTGGTTATACAGTACATATTTGTTAAATGCCATTATATTATTTACGAACATTAATTAATGTATTCTTTATGTCTTATAAATATTTGCAATGATTTCCTGTTTATCGACGTCAACACGCGTTTTATGTAAACATCTATAATTAGACTGACTATCTTGTCGGTCAAGTGCGGTGCACTTTGTCGAGTCTAAAGCAGTTGGAAACTAAGCAATTTTTCATTTCATGTGCCGATTCAGTAAGTGATATACCCTAATAATTTCGAGGATACTACCCTCGAAACTGGGACACCATGGTAGCGCTACCAGTAGCGTCACCGTGGGTGTCTGAGTGAGTGACCCACCATACAGCGCTATAGTAATTAGCGTGGTGGCGCGACCAGCGTTGTACCATTTGAGCTGGTCACGCCGCCAGAGTGGTTGCGCAACCAAGTGGACACTTAACTGATTGTTGGTCGCAGCCATTGCATGCGCCGCCATGCTGTCCCGGTGAATTATAGCCCTTAATTGTTGTGCTACCGATGGGTCAGTGTCAAAGTCAAGACGTAGCTTATTTGTTGCACTTTCGAATCCGAGAATAGTTTTTCTAGTTTAAGTGGTTTTTTAGGCGATAAACTCAAAACTCCTTACTCAGAAGTCGCGCTGAGAATCACTTGACGAATGAGGAAGGAAAGAATCTACTCCTCCTTCAAAATAAACTACCTAACTAATTGTAATAGGATAAATAAATACGATATACCTAATTGGACATAACTAACAAACACAGTGGGGATTTCCGAAGGTTGTGTAGATACAAAAAAAAAATTGTTATTTTATGTTAGAATCAATATTCAATAACGTAAAATAACTTAGGATGAACTTTAGTTGTCATAATTTATTCATAGATGGCGCTGTATTATGCGCTAGTATTTATTAATTTTTGAAAGAAGTTTTATTTAATTAGTGCAAACAAGACTCACCTTCAAAGTTGGCAGGTTTATCACTAAACACAGAATCTTCCGTATCATTGTGCATTATTTGTTAAAACACTAAAAATTTTAATGACCAAACTAACTTGACACTTGGGATATAAACAAATTCCCTACTTTCACTTCTCTTTTTCAAGTATTTAACTAAATAAATCACAATATTAGAACTGTAAATTAAATTTCAAATAAACTTTTATTCACTTCAACACTCATGTTTCTTACTTAGTCCAAATATGTACGTGTTTCCATTCTAGATAGGTATCAAGATAATTTGGACAACTAATATGCAAGCAGTCTCCGTGAGTATAAACTACTAAGTGACCAGTTTACAAGACAATTTTCCTTATTCTGCAAACAAACCGGTATAGTAGCAATTATTATATTTTAAGCTGATTCATTCATAGGAGCGATAAACGAATAGACGTAATCAAATCAATTTAAATAACTGGTTCAGTTTCATCTTAATATTGCGAGACAAATCTTATTTCATTATCATTTCATCAACAGCCTATAAATGCCCACTGCTGAGCAAAGCCTCTTCTCAAACGGAGAAGGTTTGAGCATTAATCGCCACGCTTGCTCAATGCGGGATGGCGATTTCAAACTTATAATTAGAAATTATAAGTCCAGGTGTCCTCACGATGTTTTTGCTTCACCGTTTGTCAATGGTGTCTAAATAATCTTAGAAAGTACATATAACTCGGAAAAAGTCACATTGGTACTTGCTGTTGGTAGGTTTCGAACCCGCACCCTCATGCATGAGAAGTGGGCGTTTTAAACGTTTATATAACGTAAAATTCAAATCTTATTTATTGTTAGGAAATACCAATATCATTTTGTGTTAATTCGAGTTACAAGAATGCAATTGATTGTAAATGTGTAGGTGGCACAAATATTCAAAACCTCAGCCATTTTTTACCAGTTGTACTATGAGTACCTATATTGAGGTTATTGCCATATACTGAGCATTTTCTAACCATTTGTGTGCATAATTAGCTGACACCATTATTACGTATTTATTTGCTAGTTTTTTTTAAAACATCTGCCTTGTATTCTAGCCTTCTAGGTATAATCTTGTCAAACACAGCGAGGACACCGGTGACCGCAACATATTGTTATTTAATTGTGTCTATAATGACGGTACTCAAAGAGTTAATTGGTAGCACAACTTTATTGTGTTACGTCATGTTGGGGACTACCCGATATTGACCTTGTCTTTGTTCAAATATTGACAAATATTTTTGCACCACATAGGGTATTAACCGAATTTAATTTGTAAAAAACTATATTTGTTGAGGATAGGCCTCTTTTAATGAGGGTCGCTCCCTCATTACAAGTTATTATTCAACACTTAAAGGTCAGGTTTGTTGTCATTCTATGCTCAGTCTAAGCTCAGCACTCAGGCATTGATAACATTCGACCGTCAAAATCAATAAAGAAACTATTTACCTTTATATTATCAGTACGTCTAAGGACTTCACTTATTCGCACGGTCATCGAGCATTGACCTCACTATCTACAATATTACACACCAAGATATCTGTACACTTGAACCAAGTGTTTCAAAGAAAAACCTTCACACAATGCTATGAGTATGATATTACATAGTTACTCACATAATCCTAAGGCGATTGCCTATTGTCAAGTATGTGAAATTAATTGTTACAATGTACAAATACTATGTTATGAATACGTCATTGGATTGTCCGACTCTATCGTTCTTTGAAGTACTTCAAATATTTCGAATATTATTCCTTTGCAAAATATATCTTTCAATATCAAAATGATGGAATAGTTATTTACACAAAAGATGAATTAGATTGCTCTGTGGAGGAGGTGTTGTTGGTTGACGCAACGTGCATGATAGTAAAGCTGAGCAATGATACTATAGTGATAGGTATATATAGATCACCTTCCCATAAGAATGTAGACAACTTTATTAAATCTTTGGATGAATTATTAAGCAATTATAAAAATCACCATAACATAATTATCATGGGAGACCTGAATATAGACATTAAACTACACACTGACGATGAGAATTCTATTGATTACTTAGATTTATTGGCTTCGAATGAATTATTGGCAGGTCATCTATATAAAACCAGGGAAAATAAGTGCTATGATCATGCAATGATCAAATCCAAATTTCAATCACTCACAATGGTTTTTCAATGTCCTGTCACTGACCACCTACCCGTAATGACATGCATAACACTAAAAACTAAAATTAAAACCACCCCAACTACTACCGTACAAAAAATAAATTTTAAAAACGTTGTTACTGAATTAGAACTAATAAACTTTAAACCTATTCTTGACTCACCTGATGTTGACTGGTCCGCCGAGCAATTGGTATCGATTCTTAATACAGCAATCATGAGAAATTCTCTTAATGTTTTAGTACCAAAAAGAATACGTTGTATTAAACCGTGGATTACGCCTGGATTAGTGAGATGTATTAATAATCGCGACAGAATGCATTTAAAATGTAGGAAAGATCCTAATAATGACATCTTACACATAACTTACAGCAGATATAAGAACTTTTGTAATGACTTACTAAAACGATTAAAGCGTAACTATGAAAAACATCAAATTACTAAGTATGCCAATAATCCAAAAATGAAATGGAAAGTAATAAATAATATCACAAACAGAGTAAACAAACAAAATCCATCATCTGAATTGTTGAAAATCTGCCCTACGCCTGAAGCATCTTTAGAAACCATAAACAATTACTTTACCACGATAGCACAAAAATTAGCTGACAATATTAAAATTAACTGCACTTCGGCGGATGAATTCAAATCCACACCATCTAATTCAATGGTCATGTTACAAGTAACAGAGCATGAAATTGAATCAGTGATTATGAACTTAAAAACAGACAGTGCTGTGGGATGGGACGGGATTTCCACGAAACTCATAAAAATGGTTAGGCATGTGGTTGTTTCCCCTCTAACACATATTGTTAATCAGTCAATTATTACTGGTAAATTTCCCAGAGTATTTAAAATATCCATAATCCATCCAATTCATAAATCTGGTACCAGAGACTGTGTCGAAAATTATCGACCAATCTCAGTTTTGCCTGCGCTTTCCAAAATTCTGGAAAAAATAATGAATAAAAGCCTAATCTCATATTTGGAAAAGCAAAAAATTTTATCAAGTAACCAGTATGGCTTTAGGGCGGGAAGGTCGACGGCTCATGCAGTTTCTGAATTATCAAATTTTGTGGGTACTCACATCGACCATAGAGACAAATGTGTAGGTGTTTTTCTAGACCTAGCAAAGGCATTCGACACAGTATCTATTCCTATATTGCTTAACAAAATGGAAAAAATTGGTGTTAGAGGGGTAACCTTACATCTATTTAAGGATTACCTGAGTAATCGCACCCAAAGGGTAAAAATAAACCAGTTTTGCAGTAAAGACACACCTATAACAATTGGCGTGCCCCAAGGAAGTGTACTCGGACCGACCTTATTCCTTATATATATAAATAACCTTTGTAATATACAACTACAAAATTGTCAAATATTTGCTTTTGCTGATGACACAGCTCTAATTTTCTACGGTAAAAGTTGGGAAGACGTTCAGAACCATGTAGAAGTAGGGCTACAGACTGTATTGGCTTATCTTAATCAAAATCGCCTTTCCCTGAACGTGGCTAAAACAAAATTTATGATTTTTGCCAATTCCAAAAGAGTGTTAACTTCTGTTAAAAACTTTACAATACAATTACATTCATGTGACAAGCATGATAAAAAATGTAAATGTACTAATTTAGAGCGTACTGAAACCATAAAATATCTTGGCATACTTCTTGATGAAACACTCACATGGCGTCCATACATAGAATTATTAGAACAAAGAACCAGAAAACTCATGTATGTTTTTAAAATTCTAAGACACGTGGCGATCATGCGCTATTGAAAACGGTATATTTTGCTCTGGCACAATCTATTTTAACATACTGTATTACTTCTTGGGGAGGTGCACGTAAAACCCACCTTATTAAAGTAGAACGAGCACAACGGTCCTTACTTAAAGTCATAACCTCTAAACCTTTCAGATATCCCACATTTGATTTGTACACTGAATGCGATGTTTTAACTGTCCGGCAGTTGTTTGTTAGGCAAAGCATATTGTCACAACATCAGAACCTTACCTTTAAAGGAACAATAACGTCAAGGCGAAACCATAAAGTATGTATAACCGAATCATACAACACTTACTTTATTAGGAAATTTCAGTGCTATATGGCCCCATGCTTTACAATAAGTTAAATAAAAAACTTAACCTATATCCATTAACATGTTATTGCTGCAAAAAAGTTGTAACAGTCTGGTTAAAAAAACAAAACTATGAAGATATTGAAAACTTGTTTGTTGTTTTACAGTAACCATGTTAAAAATACATATATAACAGTAATAATAACTGGATACACTAGTTGTGAAGGATAAAAGGAATCTGGTGTGTTGTTGTTTCCAATTTTGGTCTACTGTGCATGTTTGTATTACTAGTTATAATAAAGTATGTAGATTAATACTAAATAAATAAATAACACACTCTAATTACTAAGTAAATTTAACCAATATCCAATTTGCGGGAAAAAGAAACAATCTTCAATAATCACTATTTATAATATGTATATAAATAAAACTTAATATCTTATCAACATTAATCACACTAATGCATACACCACCTTACACTACACTTTACACATAAATAAATAAAACAATAAAGTTATAAAAATATATACTTAATATTATTATTTTTATCTAAGTTCATTGTCTTAGTGGTTTAACTATACTTAAGTGAATTCATTCTGTGCGGGTAATTCATAAAAAGTTTGATATTGTGTACAGTACCTATGTTTTTATTAGGTACCCTCCTGTCTCTCAAGGTTGTTTTATTGTATTGTCATACTTGTGCATTAGATATCAATGTAATTATAAAACATTTACAAACTTTAAATTGTAAATAATATACTGTATCAATTGGAAGGAACTAACGTCTAAGGTATAGGCTCGGCCTAGT